CCCCAAAACCCCAAAACCCCAAAACCCCTTTAGGATGTTTTAGAATTGAAGAATTTGGTACTTTAGGAGCGATTATAAATTTGTTTGAGATCTTTTCATATCATCTGTATCTTGGAACACCTCTTTCCTAAAGTTTAGCTTCTCTTCACTGATGAGTTTAGATATAGAGTCAATGTTGGCTAGAAGTTCCTTGATCCCATCCTGGACAAATTTGGTCCTCATCATTGACTGATGAGCCCAATTCTATAAGGAATCATTGAAGAATATTACACTTGTAATACCAGACCTGGACTCTACTTGGTAGCATTTATCAGATGACAGATGTCTTCTTGAAGCAGCTTGATGCACAATATCATGGAAAGATTTCGCCTTCTTGTTAAATATTTTCCTTGAGTATATATTCTTGTTTCCTTTCTTACTGTTCTTTTTCTTTTCTTGCAGAAAATAATCTTCATTATCCTTTATCTGTGCTTTTGGAGGCCTCGACATTATCCGCTATAATTCATCCAGAAATGAATATACCTTGTGTGTTTTATAAGAGCTATTAATAAGGGTATAGTTCGCTCAGATATCTCTCATATTTAAAAACTTATACTTTCTTGTTACTCCAACTGGGGAGTAGGTTGCTTCTTGGCGACTCTTTGATTTAGAGTTACCATGAGCATAATCATTCGATTTTTCAACTTTATGCTTCCCCTCGCTTGGGGAGGTGAGTGGCTCCTTCATAAACTCATCCTTTAACTCTTGAATATCAAGATCTTGAGGTACATGGTGGTCAATTTTATTTTATTCTGTATTCTTGGAGATAGATTTGCTTGATGATGCTATTGTCGTTCTCAAGGTCCCCTATTTATCATATCTAAGAGAAACCTACCTTGTAGATACTTCTCAAGGTAATACCTGCTCTTATCGAGCTCTTCAAGATAATAATACTCAATACTGAGATGATGGTATGCTTTAAGCTCTTCCTGACTGAGTTTCAGGATCCATGCGCTTTGGAGCATTCTTTTGAACATCTCGATAGCAGTCTTGTGACGTTTCTTCAACCTATTCATGTACCCGCATTGTTCATACATTATGAGCTGTTTCTCTGGGGAGTCGATCATTATGCTATAAACTCTAAGGCCATCATAGATCTTGAGTGCGATGTTAAATTCTGAGTCTCCTCTGCTGACAAGAAAATCAGCCCTCATTTTTGCTGTATAGAACACAATATCATAGATATTGCTTGACTTGGACAGGTCTTGGATTGCTAAGAGGAGGGCCTTGATATGACCAATATCAAGTATTTGTAGCAAACTCTTATATTCTAGTTTCTCAGAGCTAGCCTCACTATTTTTCTTGGTGGCCTTCCTCTTAGACTTGTTCTTAATGTTATTTCAAGATATCTCTGAGGTATTTAGGCTTCTCACGACTGTTTTGTTTCTCCTGGATTTTCTGATTGATCTACAATTGTAAGAGAGGCATTACATATGACTTCAGTTCTTCAAGCTTCTTTTCCATCTGTAGCATTGCTCCATATTTCTTTTTGCTGTCATCAACAAAGATAGTGTTGACTGGTACCTTTGCACTAATTGTCTTCGACATTCCTAGCGCATTATCGAGAAATGTGTGATTGTTACTAAATATTTGAGAAACGAAATTTACTTAATTACAGTATGACGAAATCATTTCAGAATTAATACTCGATCGGTCGTCGTAGTCTATCCAGTTTCCTACAAATGGCTCTTGGTCTATAACAAGGAATGATTATGCCAAGATAAATGTGACGCATTCCAAGTTTGGAGGAGCACAGCAAACTAATATCTCTAAAAAGATTTAGTCTTCGATGACTTTCACTTTTTTGAAATAAATCTAACTTTAATTTCAAAACTCTACAAATGCTCTCTACAGCGTCTTACTTGTCTGGTAACCTCCAGCCTTCTTGTTGAAATCTGGCCTAAGAAGTTATCAAGCGACTGCCATACTCGTTATTTGAGCTATGATCATAAGACTCTAGCATGTTCTTCTTCTGATTAAAGTCAAAGGATTGAGACAGAGGGATACTCTGACTAACCAAGCGTTCTCTGTAGTGAGTCTTAACTTCCTAAACAATATCAGAAAGGAATACATTCTTAGGGATTTGAAACCTCACATGAATCTTCTTGTGTTTTGAAGGATTTGCATCCTCATTCATTGTGCGAAGTTTTCTGTCATAATCTGTTCTCCAAGGTCTAGAAGGTTAGGCTTTTATGGTACTGTCTGAAAGCAAGTGCAATTTCCTTCTTGCTATATGATATAATGAGTAAGTGACCTCGAGAGGTGTTTATAGTACACCCAAATAAAACTCTACATACTGTACATTGACGTTCCTTTGGCCGCTTCCTGATTGTACAATTTTCTAAAATTGTGACTTGAAGTTACAGAGAAATAGTCATGAATGTATTTAATTTCCTTTCTAGCCTTGCTAAGAGCCTCTGATCTTTCAGATGCTACCATTCCTTTAGGATGCTCATTTAGTCTGGAAGTTAGGGTTAGCAGAAAATTCTCAAGTCCTTTAAGAATAAATGAGAAGCTGCAGAATTTAAGATTATAGGAGTTCCCTTACTTCGATCTGAATGCTTCAAGACTGTATATTAAATTGCTACCATCCTTATCACTAGTATGCACTCTATTTGACATGTTTCAAACTTCTTAGACCTAATTCATGTTAGAAAAAAGCAGAATCTCTATAAGACCAAATTGAAAGAAATCTTCCAACTTGAAATTTTTTTAAGAAATATTACTAGATTGTCTTCTGTGTGCCTGAGAAGCACTCTTCATCTTCTTTCGGGATTGAGAACTTTGAAAGTCTTTAGAACATTTAGCACTGAATTCTTTCCTTAGTGAGAACCTTGACATTTTCATAAAATATTTTCAAAATAGCTTTATTTCTTGGGGTTTTGGGGTTTTGGGGTTTTGGGGTTTTGGGGTTTTGG